ACCCGCTCACCCCATCCCAACGGGGAGGCCGCCAGAGCGGAGCCGCGCGGCCGGAGCCAACGGCCATGGCCTGAACCGGGAATGGGACCGTCAACATCACTGGAGGCCTCTTACCCACCTCAGCGTGGGCTTTTGCCCCTGGCTTCAACGGAGCTGCAGGGTCCGGGAGCGATTTCAGGTGGCTGCTGCAGTCACGCAGGCACCGACCACCCCATCCCAACGGGGAGGCCGCCAGAGCGGAGCCGCGCGGCCGGAGCCAACGGCCATGGCCTGAACCGGGAATGGGACCGTCAACATCACTGGAGGCCTCTTACCCACCTCAGCGTGGGCTTTTGCCCCTGGCTTCAACGGAGCTGCAGGGTCCGGGAGCGATTTCAGGTGGCTGCTGCAGTCACGCAGGCACCGACGGAGGAGTCGGAGCCGTTCTGGCCGCACTGGGAGAGGCCGGGATGCTCCCGTCGCCACACACACACCCGAAAGCGGCTGCGCCGTGCGGGGCTGCCCGGGGGATTCGTTACCCCCAGCAGCTGCTGCCGAGGAGGGCAAAAAATAAACCAAAAAACGAATCAAAATCCAAACGCGCCTTGGCCCACCTTTTGGCTGAAAGTGGCACCGAGCAGCGAACGAGGCCCAGGGCAGCTCCTGGCCGATGCGTGACTCCTTGGGGGACAAAATACACTCAAAAAAAAACCCTCATTATTAGTTAAAAAATAAAAATAAACAATCAGGAATTTTCTCCAGCCTGCTGCGCGTCTGCACCGTTATGTAACGGGAAGTGCTTGAACCTAGAAAATTCCCTGCTCTTTTGGGTCCAGCAGAGATGGCCGACCATCTGGCTGTGCGTTTTTCATTTTTAAAACCATAAACGAGTGAGGCAGCTCCTCCTGCCAGGGGTTACATGGGGGGAAGGAGCATCCTCAAGGTCTCCGCAGGATTGGGGCAGATTTGGGTGATCTCAGGCTCGCGCCAAGGGGGTTTTTCAGCTCCCAGAGCAAGATGAAAGCACTCGAGCGGGTCCGGACTGAGCTAGGGCTCGCTTTGGTCCTCAGCTGTTCCCCTCTGCTCTCCGAGCTGAAACGATTCGTGTTGCTCTTATTTGGTACAAAGATTTTAAGGGAATTCTTCTATTTTTTGCCTTGGAAAAGGTCCACGTGAGCACAGCGAAATTCTGCAGGCAAAAGCAGTAGCAAATGCTGGTCCTGGCCTCGTTTCACTGACCATGGGGATTTTGCTCCAGCTGGAAACGAATCCCAGGAAAAGCAGGCGCCGGAGGGAAAGTGGTGGCATCTCCCGTGAGCCGGAGCTCCACGCCGAGCTTCGTCTCCAAAATCCCCGAGTCCCTCTGTGCCGACGCCGAGTCCGCTGGGCGGAAGGCGCTGCCGGGACGCTCTGCGCGGCGCCCAGGCTGCCGGCCGGGAGCAGGGAGGGCCGGCGCCAGCCCCAGGGAACAGCCCCGTCACCGGGTGCTCCGTGGCTCCGGCCACGTCCAAGCTGGAAGCTCAAGAGCCAGTGATAGAAGGAGCTTTCAGGTCGCCCAAAGGGCTCTGGGCTCCTCTCTGCAGCACTCCAGGTCGGCTTGGTTATGGAATTATCTCCTTCCCTCGGCACCGAGTTCTATTGTTTTCCCGAGCATCTATTTTCTTAAGCAAGATTTCCTCCTTTATTATTATTATTATTTTATTTTAACCACCAGCGAGGAAAGAAAATGGGGCAAGAACCCAAATCTTGAGGCTGCTGGTTAAACCAGACATCTCCTTTCAGCCTTGCAGTGAGGGGCCGTCCCACACGGACACTCGTCTCCCTGGATTCAAGGGAAACCCTTGGGGTGACGGGGATGAAACGGCCGCGCTCAGGGAGACTTCGAGGGAGCTGGAGACCTCTTGGGAACGCCGCATCCTGCGTGAAGCTACTCCTAAAGCCTCCCCCGTGCCTAGCTGCAGATCCCCAAGGTTTGTGGTCAAGGGCAACATCTCTTTTTATGCCTCTATTTCCCCTAAACCTTTTGTTTGCCTGAAGGCAACAGGGACCTGCTGGAGGGCCGAGGTGGTGGCAAGAAGATGGAGGAAGGCTGCACATCTCCGCAGCCACAAGCACTCCTGCTCCGAGACGTTCCGTGCTGGTCACTCCCAGTTCACGCCAACATCAGGAACCACCAACAGCTGCGACAGCTGCTCCAGGACCTTCACCGGAGACGCGGATGAAGAGCCGGCCCAAGAAGGCCCCTTTGCAGAGCCCCGCCGGTGTCCTCCCATCACCCCGGCCTCGCTCCATGTGCTTCTCCTGTCCTCTAGGAACATCCCGTCTTCTCTGGACTCAGGATTTCAGGGCAACAAGCCCGCAACTGATCTCCGCCAAGTTCATGTTTTATCACCCTTATCTCAAGTTATTTGCTTTAGCGCCAAAGATATCAGATTAATCCAAATTCAGGCTCTAATTTGGATAACCCCATTGCACTTCACTCCGTTTTCACGCTACTCCTTTCCTCCTCGTCGACAAGGGTCCGTATCCATTGCAGCAAAGCTCTTTCCTCTCGGTGCTGCCGGCGGAGACCGGCGCTCCCCGGGCCGCCCCGTGCGGACCTGGCTCCGCGCTCCGGCTTCCAGCGCGTGGATCCGGCGCACGGCTGATGTAACCGGGTCACTTCTCAGCAGCTTCGTCCAAGCGCTCGAGACGTTGGCAGGTTTCTCACCAAGTATGGTTGGCTCCTTGGCTGCGTTTTCTGCTTCCCGCAGTCCGCAGCAGCCCGAGGGCCCAAGTTCCGCGGACACGGGCTCATTGCAAGGCTCTGGGCCCGTCGCAGCCTCTCTCCTGCTGCTCCAGCAGGGATTTGGGAATTGGGCGGATCTGAGCAGCAGCTACTGGGCTTTCATGGGATTCTTCTGGCCTCCTTTTAAAACCACTTGTGTCCCAGCTGTTTGCAGCAAGTTTGCAGTGTTTAAGACAAGAATGTATGTGGCAAAATGAATAAATAATCACACAATATGGCTAGATCAGCACCCAAGGGAAAAAAGAGAATTTAGCTATTGGAAATATAAAACTTGAGAGAAATTTTGTTTCAAGCTCACAATCACATTTAAACCATGGGTCAAATCTCCTTATCTCCTGGTACAAAACACATCACAGAGAGAAACAGCCAAGGGTGACAAGGTAGTATCAGAAATGCTGATATACAGTAAGTGTTTATGGGGTATCAATGTATTACCAAAAGCATATTCCATGTAGAAAAGGATTTTAAAGAGGTTTTTGGATAGTGGTTTTTGAGTTGATTTCAGATTTACAGAAAAACAAACAAACAAAACAAATAAAGCCTAGAATAAGTCTCCAGAGACATATTTACATTTGACAAACATTCGTTAGGACAAGTGCTGAATTTCTGGGAATAGAGAGAACTTGGAGAGATGGGGAGAAAAACTCCCCTGCCCAAGCGCCAACACTGACTTACGTAAGGGCGAAATGAAAGCCGGGAGGTCGGCAGGACGAGCGCGTCCGTGTTCCCTAGTATTTACCCAGCTCAAACATCCCCTTCACCCCACGAAACCTGGATGGTGCCTCCTGCTTGATGCCAAGACGATGAACACGGCTGAGCTCATGACACTGAATACCCGAGTCCTGGAAAGCAGGTTGCAAAGGACAGGGTGGCATCAGGCCAAGCTGCAGGGCTCGGCGACCCTCCTGGCCCTGCCTGCGGGTCCCGGCTGGAGAAACGGTGCTGGCCTCGGTGTCCCAGCTGGCTCGGAGCCACCGGCACAAACAAGACCCTTCTTTTGCCAAATGACACCAGGACATCCCAAAAAAACGGTAAAACAAAAGGAGAGAAGGACAAAATCCAAACTTAAAGCGCAGCTTCTCATGGGCATTAATCAAATGCCTTGTAATCCCCCTTGGAAGGCAGGGATTTTTTTCCAGACCATCTCCATGGATTCACACGAGAGCATCCACAGAAAGACGATCCCGGTGCTGGGAACGGCCTCCCCGGAGCGTCGGGAGGGATCCGCAGGGGTCCAACACCCCGCAAACGCGACGGGAGCAGAGACGCCACCCAACAAGCCGGGTGCCAGACTGCAGGAAGTCCCGAGTTACTCAGAAAGGTGCTACAATCGTTGCACGGCTGCTGCAAGACCGCAGCGCAGCTCAACGCACTGGGGTTAAGCCTCCCCCTTTCCTAGGCCTGTCTTGGCGTTGGTTTTTTTGGATCACAGGATCAAATGGATCCCTTACATGACGGTCCCGAACAGACGATTTCCAAGGAAAAGGGATTTCACTGGGGAAGAAGGCAGCGACCCTTCCCTCCCTCGGGCAGCGCTTGAGAATTCCTGCCTGCAAACCCGCCGGCAGCGAAGGCTGGAAAAGCCCCTGGAGCGCAGGCTGGGCAGCCGCCCGGCCGCAGTGTTTCCAAGGAGCCCAATCCCGCGTGTTCCTTCGGAAAATCACAGCCGAATTAGGGCAGCTAATGCTGCACGGGTCACTGGCCAGCACCAGCACGCGCCCTCCTTCGCATAAATACAGATTTTGGTGACAAAATGCGTGCGGGAGCAGCACCCCGTCACGGGCTGACTGCAGAGTTTGGGGTTTTCTTTTCTTACTGGAATTGTTGTCACTGCGGAGCAATTCACATGCAGAACAGCACGGTTCGTTTCTAACTAACTCTTTATTATATCAAACAAGGTCAAATATATAAAAATTCCAAGTTGTTTAAGACAAATCATTAAGATATCCCTTTCCCTCACATATTCAGAGCATATTCTATTGCTGGAGGAAAAATATAAATCTCATGTAGAGCGGATTTTTTTAGTAACCTGCTGGATTTAACAAATTCTTCCAAACTGCATCCAAAAACCACAGAATCAATGACACGAATACAAGTAACGTTCGAAAATTTGGCTTTTACAAGTCTCTTCTGAGTGTTTATTTCAGAATGGCCAAAAATTTAAGCCAAAGCAGGAGAGCATTTTAAAGTAATGCAGGTCTCATTTCTACAAAAGGAAAAACCAGGCCCAGCGCTTTGAACCTGAATACGGTCACAGACATGAACATTTAGAGCTTGAACAGACATCCTCTACTAGGAACAAGCACCCAGTTTCAGAGAAAACGTGCACGTTTTACACAAGGAAAAGGCAACGATAATAAAAACAGAGCCATTGGGGAATGACTTTGGCACCAGGAGTGGGATTTGCTATATCCGCTGGTCACTACTGGATTTATTTACCCGTTTGGATGAAAACTCACAGGGTCAACCTGAGACAGTAGCTTTCCACAGGTAATGGCTTGGATTATTAATCAGGAAAGGGCTAATACGAGTAGCAGGAGAAGGGGCTGGTGTGAGTTGATTGCAAAGGTCATTTAAGTCATCAAGAAGACACCGCTGCGCTGATGCAGTTGGCAAAGACAGCAGCAAGGGGAGGAATGAAAGAAAAACCGCTCAGAATTTCAACTTCTTGTAGTTCAGCTGATTAAAGGGCATTCGAAGGATCGCCGCGTGGGGCAGAAGCAGCAGGGCCCCGGGAGGCTGCGGGAGCAGGCGGGTCGGCTCGCACACCGCTGCAGCCTTTTCTCATATGCATCTTTCTCATAGCAGTTTGCTCCCAAACCCTCAGAGCAGGAAGAGCCGCGTCCCGCCGCCCGCAAGGGCAAAGGGCTCCCGGGACGTTCGCGTCTCTCCAGCACCGGAGCCGGGATCTACGCGTGGCCCCTCGAGACTGTGGGGTCCCAAAGCGAA